ATATTAATTATATTAATTATTATATTATTATTAATGTAATGGACATAATTATATTAATACTATATAATATAATTATAATATAATATTATGCACTGAAATAATTATATTAGAATTATTTGTATAATTGTGATATTATTTGTTAAAATATTACAATTATGTTGTATTATATCATATTATTGTATTATTATATTATCTTATATTATTAGTATATATTATATTATAAGATATGATTACGTTATAATATATTGTATATATTATTATAGAATATTAAATAAATATATTATAATTTATGACTATATTATAAATTAATTATTGTATTATTATAACTATATTATATTATAATATTTTTATTGTATATTATATTATATTACATATTATAGGATATAACTACTATATAATATATTTTAATTATATTATATTATTGAAGGGTAATTATGGAAAAAAATAATGAAAATAATTTAGAATGGTTATTCTTCTCATGTGAAGAAGGAATGATGATTCACTCAAAATGGGTGAATGACCATTTCTTTTGAATGACTATTCCTTTCTTATAAATCTAACCAAACATCAAATTTGAATTTCATTCCATTCTATTCCTTTCCTTTTCACCCAACCAAACACACCATGAGTGATATCTTGCAACTTGCTACCACTCACCCCTCACCACCTTTTATTATATATATATATATATATATATATATCTATCATGATTTTAGCCTATAAATAGTCATAAATGAATATGATATTGGCACGCTTTCCATTAACAATTCTCCAATTCATAGATAGCGGTAGCTTTCTAGGGAAAAAAATGGCGAGTTCCAAGATTTTGCTTTTGCTGGGTATTTTACTTGCAGTTGGTCTTGTCGTCTCTTCAGAGGTTGTCGCTAGAGGTAATAAGCGTTTTACACATGGGGTATTTGGCACCTTTTTTCCTTGTATTATTATTACGAATTGGCAATTTGTGAATTCTTTCCTTTGACTTAAATTATGCCTTAATTTAATACAATATTATATGTATATAGTGTTTAATTCCGAATCGATTGTGATAAATAATTCAAATGAGTTTGCATAGTTTGTACGTGGATATTTTCATCTAAATTTTGAAACTACTATCAACCCAACAACATTCTGTAATATTTTATTAAATTTGTCACGTGATTTATCACAATTAAAAAATGTTTCTGTAATTTATCTATTCAAGACAATTTGAGGGGATAAAAGGAAATGCTTTTTTGTATTAAAACCTTATCTTATTAGTGAATGCGCGTTTGTTGATATGCAATAGTTTCGGATAATTAAAGAGTTGTTTCGGACTTGAAAAAATAAAAGAAAAGAAAAAAAAAAACAAGAATATATAGAAGAAGGGACGCCGCTTATGTAGAAAGTACTCTTTCTGTTACCGTTTGGCCGGTGAGGAAAAGTGAAAAATTTATATACTCGAGTTTTTAGCACAATTACCTCTCGAATTATTGTTCTTTAGTAAATTGGCCTCTACACATTTAATTTTAGTAATGAATCCTCTGAATTTGTAAAAAATATTACAATATGCTATATTTTACTAAATTTACTCAAATTTTTTTGTTAGATTTAAAGGATTAAAGGTTGATAAATTAAAAACTTTATGTCATATTTGAGTCGGGATGTTTTCGTCGAACGTGTTTTTTTCGACACTAATTTAATAAAATTGTTGTCAAAATGAGACATATTGCAACAAGTTTACAAGTTGAGGAGATAATTTATCAAAATTAAAAATTCAGGGGCCAAATTACTAAAACCATACAAATTCAAGAGACAAATGTGTAATATACCCTATGTACTCAGGACTGGCGGAGCTATTCACATATTAATATGTTTAGTGGTCACACAAAATATGTATATATATGTGCATATCTATATATTATATATATATATACGGAGTTGTACTTTATAGTGTCCCAATTTGAAAATGGAAGACAAGTCCCTATGTGGTTTTATAATGGGCCCATGTGTCATCGTAGTCGGTCGAAGGCATAGTATAATTTTTTTATATTGAGTTGTAATAGTTATTATTTTGAAAATTAGAAGTCGTTTATAAACATATAATAATAAACGATTGTCTTGTACACTTGTCATAAATAAATCTATGAAAAATATTTAAAAAACACATCAATAAACGACTGTCATTTTTACTATTAATATCATTCGTTCTATCGTAATTGACTGTTGTTTTAAAACCTAAATAATATTGTCGTGAAGAATTACATATGTCATGTTCTTTTTTTGATAGACACATCCAGTCATGCATGAACATTTGTTTAAAGCAGGTCATGACAATGTTTTATTTGCCATATGATTAAAAATAACTTCTCATTCCCAAAATAGAACTGTTACTGCTTAATACAAGAGAATTACGCTAATCATTTAACCGGCTACACTAGTCATTTAACCAATTAGGATGGAGAAATTTTCCTCATAAAAGTGATAGGAAAGTACAGAGCATATATATACATATAAATATTTATACTTGATTCTTATCACGCCATATTATTAAATTTTCATATTTAATTAATAATTACGATGGGAAAGTAACCATTGAAATCTGGTTTATATATAACATACAAAAGTTAGATATAATTGATTATTATTTTTCTTGGGTGGGGTGCGAATATATATATATATATTTAATTTAGTGAAACCACAATTAAAATTTAAAATTTTATATTAAAACAAGAAATTTTAAAAATTTAACTGAAGGCAGGTGTCGAGCGGGCTGTGTCCTCGGAGAAACCGAAGAGCTATAATTTTAGTGTGGATTTATTATTTGGACAAAATTAGAATGCTATTACCCTTCGGTTTTGGCTCCCAAAATACCAACTTTTTTTTTTCTTCTAAATTTATCCTGCAGTAGTACTTAGCAACTAATAAGAAAATTTGGCCATTAAATTAAAATCTAGCTAGTACTTTGACATAATCATTTACTCTTGCAGTGGATGCTAGCACTGAAGAAAAGAGGGTAGATGATTCGAAAACTGGTGGATACGGTAAATATGGAAGCGGCTATGGGGGTAAAGGTGGTTACGGAGGGAGTTATGACCGCAAAGATGGTGATCATGATGGCAGTTATGGCGGCGGCAAAGACGGTGATCATGATGACGGCAAAGACGGTGATCATGATGGCGGCAAAGACGGTGATCATGATGGCGGCAAGGACGGTGATCATGATGGCGGCAAGGACGGTAATCATGATGGCGGCAAAGATGGTGATCATGACGGCGGTTATGGCGGCGGCAAAGATGGTAATCATGATGGCAGTTATGGCGGCAGCAAAGACAGCTACGGAAGTGGATATGGGAGCAAAGGAGGATATGGAGGCAAAGGAGGATATGGAGGCAAAGGTGGTTACGGGGGAAAAGGAGGATACGGCGGCAAAGGAGGATATGGCGGCAAAGGTGGCTATGGAGGCGGAAAAGGTGGTTATGGAGGCGGAAAAGGTGGTTATGGTGGCAAAGGAGGATATGGTGGTGGTTATGGAGGCGACAAACCTCAAAACTGATATTAGGAAGTTTATGAATACATGCGATCGGCTACGTCTTCAAATATAAATAATGAAGCTATATAATTCACACGTAATAAGCATTGACGAGATCACATATATGTCTCTTATGCATGCTGCTGTAGTAATCCATAGCTTGTGATTAATGAAGGCTTGTCGAGTTTAATAAATTCTTGGTTTTGTTTGGTCAGTTTGAAAGTTTTATTTTTCTTATTCTTACATAAATCCCTGTTATTAAAATAATTAAAACATTTTTTTTATATAATTGTCAAAATTATAGAAATGATCAAGTTTAGTGGAGTGTACCACTAAGATAATTGTTTGATTGTAATATATTCTTATTTTTGCGTGGAAGCAATGTATAAATAATTTTTCCCATAATGGGTTGATTCGCAGAAAATATTTATTGTGTGCTCGGCAGAATAGTGAATTTCTTAAATTCACTGCGTTATGTTTGATTGAATGATTGTTGGCTCATCATGATGGAATAAGATTGAGATATTTCACTGTACATTACGTGTTCAAACTTGGTGTACTTGTTGAACTTTAGTGTTTATTTTATTTTATTTTATTTTATAGAGAAGCATAAAGTAAGTGAAACATGTAAACGTTTCATGGTGAATCGTTCACCGATGTCAAGCCATTGTCGCTTTTTTCTTTAGATGGGTACAGAAAGAATAATTATCGAGGTAGAATTAAAATTCTTTGGCGCAATATAAATGTGAATATCAGGGCAAATAGTTTTGCTAGCACATAAACTAATTGCTGCCTATCTAGATAAGGACGACTTTTCTTCATTGAGCCATTTGTCTTTTATGGGCCTACGATTATGAACAAACAAATGCTGACAAATGTTTGAGTGCTGGATATTTTTCTTAATAATAAATGTTGCCCTAAGAGTGGATAACCATTGATCGTCGGTTCAATGTATTTAGATATTTTGGTCGGATATTAATCCTTAAGAATTATCTATGTATTGTATCTTAATTTGTCATTGGATAACTTTGAAGATGTCATTTAATGATTCGTGAAGCATAATTCTTTAAATCTGCAGACGTTTATGAGACGTTTAATCTTGATCTTATTAAATGAGATTATTCGTAGTGTATCATTGATTTGTTTGGCATTAATAGTGCGATGTGGTGCTTGTAATGTCAATATACATTGTTGCTACTTAGTGATTATTTCTTGTTTAGAATTTGCTCATGAGAGTATAATATTGGTACCATCATGTAAAGTGCATATATTTTGCTGTGTGAGCGAACAAGGTTACAATGGTGCATATTTTATGAAGCATTTTAAAAGAGCCTTGAGGGCTATAAGTATTCGTTTTATTCATGAAAGGACTGGGCCATTTCATGGGATGATATGGGAAGACGCAATTTAAATTGCTACGTTTGATGAATTTAGTATTGTGCTACTTCTTTGGAAGATAGTTATAAAAGCGCCTTTTCTGTCGCAAAGAATTACAGACTAAAAAAGATATATAATGTGTTACAAGGGATTGACTGCTTTGATGAACTTAATATAGCGCATGATAAATATCAAAATCTACAACTTGATTGCTAGTGCAAATCATGGTGATTGCACAATAAACGTCGATAGGTATAGATCAGCTTACTCACACGAACAATCGCCTTTGGTGTTTGGAGAACGAGCAAAGATGAGACATATATTGAACTCATAGCACTAGGATAGCGAGCTAAGCTAAGCCAAACGTATATAAATGTCGCCTTGGTCGGAACCAAGATGTGGTATTCTATAATAAGACTGAACATAAGCCTGTATGAAGCAAAATGTGAAACTCTAATTTGCTGCTACAGATAGTGGACACATAGGAGATTCAAGTTAGGTGCTGGGAGTGAGTGACTAGACTAAGATCTATACGGTGTTAGAGATTAGACGTACGGTCTTTTAGAAAGAAATTTCACCATAGCATGTATTTCATTCTACAAGTGTTTGGCGACTATATACGAGGATGTGTGAATAGATCCTAGCTTTCTTATCATGTGAGCCTTATCTATTATCTAATATAGATTACTATTGTTAACCATAATTAGTGTCCTATGTGACTTTTGACTATGTCATGAGGTGGATGTTTGTTTTCGAAACGTTTTTGATTGCGGAAGCGTGGTAGTGCGGATCGTGTATAAATTTTTTTTTCATAAAACTTTTGAATACTCTATAGATTATATTAACTTTTACAATATTAAAATAATTAGATTAATTTATAAAGATAGATACATAGCGAACGATTAGGCAGATAACTTGAGGTCTTTGACCACGAACAGTCCAAGCTCTAAACTTTCTCTGAAAACCCGAATCTTCCTCGTCCAGTCCTTAAAATCTGCACTAATGTGTGGGCTCCAATATAGAACTACCGGATTTGATCACTAGCTAATTTGTATTCCTTCACTAGCAACACATGTATGTGAAAAAACTGGGAATTGGAAGATCTATTCTTCCTTTTTCTCTCTCTTGAAACCAGCCACGTATGGAAAATATAGAGCAAAATTCTATTCTCTAATTTTCTATTATCTCCTATTTATAGAACACTAAGAGAACCTATTTACTTTAACTTAAAGACAAAATAATAGAAAATTATTTATTACTATATTTTAAATTTCATTAAAATACAGTTTCTCATTTTAATTTTAGAAAAAAATTTCTCCAAATCTGCAGGTAGAAGAGAGAGAAAATTCTTCATTTATCAAGTTTCCAATTTTAGCTCAAATTCAAATCTAAATTAAGTCATACTTTACTTTCCTTTTAAATTTGATTGAAAAACTTGTCAAACAAGTAAACCGGATATCTTAGAGAGTAAGTAACTAAATTTCAATGGAATTCTACCTGCGTAACATGCCCCTGCACCTCCCTATGGCTAGGCGTGTGACCTGCTGTCCCACCACAGTGTGTTTCAAAATTAATTAAATTAATTAATCCCATAATTTATCTTGAGTGATATTAAATCGCGATAATTCATCTTGTCCTGCAAATATTACAAGCATGGCACGAAAACTCACAGACCTTTAATTCCAAGCTCCAATAAAATTAATAATTAATTAAACTCTTTAACCAATTAATTAATTCTATAAATTTCAAAAGTTACTCCACTAAAAACTTAGAATTGCACTCTCGAAACTATAGACATTTATTTATTTCTAAGACCTTGAAGTGTCCATTTGATATAGTCACTATATATAGATCGATCCTCCATAAATAATTCATAATCAGAGTTAAGTAAAATCTGTTAACCTCTCTAATTACATCTTTAACCTTGACTACCTTTGATTTTCTAATGAATAGTATATTCATAAAACACATTCATAAATTCGCACTCGTTACATATTCAAGTACCGAATCAACCCTCAAAGGAATTATTTTTCTACTTCTTCAAAGAAGAAAGAATGGATTCCATCTCATATATTAGTATTCCCGGCTATCCATTTTATCATGTTTTCAAGATATAAGGAATAGGATTTAGGATCTCAAAATCCGTACCTAACAAATCAAAAAACACAAATCCTTAAATAGAAATCGACTTATAACTCAAACTTAGACTCAAATTTTATTTTCTATACTTAACGATTATTATCAGAAAATCAAATTGTGTCTGTGTTCTATTTCTACATTCATTCAATATCTCTCTACATTAATGATACAGATAACACCATTCAATTCTTAATGGGAATAACACGTATTAGTAATGTTTTAATTAAAGATTCTATAATTTTAATTAAATTCATTACAATCATTATTTCGATTACTATATTCAAATAGTATCATCTCGTATATGACACTTATATAAAATATTTAAAGTCATATAAATAATTAAAGATTTCATAACTTCAATGATATTTATAAAGTATTCAATAATACATATACATAAATAATGAATAAACTGTTTTTTAATTAAATAATAAATATTTACAAAGAACATTATTCCTAACAGTAAAGTTATGGTGTCTGCTACTTTAGCATGTTTCCGATGGCTAAGAATGATTCGATCTAATAGGGCATGACAAGACAAGCGATTGTACCAAAGCTAAGTGGCATGAGGGTGAAAGGAAGACAACTTCGAGTTACATTGATGGCTTACATTTGCTCCCGAGAATTATATCGCAACTTAATTGGTTGCTAGTATGATTGTGAATGTATCACTAAGAGATTGACGGATCTTGAGCATTGCTTATTCAGTTTATATGAAACTTGAGGGATTAAGGATGCTTAATTTGATATAACTTAGTTGGTCTGCGGTGTAACGGGACCATTTGAGGGATGTTCTATCCTGATTTCTATGAGATTTAGTATAGTTCTCCCGAATTTTTCTTTTCAAGTGGCCTGACGGTCGCACGGTCCATTTACTTAGTATGAATGAGATGCTGATTGAGATATAAAAGCGATGCATGTTAAAGCATCTTCTATAGGTGAGTGGGAGATGTTAGACTTTGGGTCTATAGACGACCCAATTGGGCGCCCACATACAGTGGCCCAGAGCCATGTACCATTATTTATTTAATTATAATTATATTTTATTTAAATAAAATCTCAGAGTCTGTTTGGTTTATGGATTAGAACCATGAGATTAGAATTATTTTCGATTTACGTGTATTTTTTGTGAGAGAAAATATTATAGAGAACCATGAATCATGATTAGAATTAGAGAACGAATCCTCTAACTAAACGGGCTCTTAGTTACTGGGTTAGTGGGTTATCTGGGATACCCATAAGGGCCATAACTAATAGGGACCTTTTATTTAAGGACCAAATCAACCACATTAGATAAACTCAGTCAGCTTCTCAAATATATGATATTTTCCATCTCCTTCTTTCTCTCCTTTCTCCATCGCGTTTATTTTAGTTGTACGGGCTTTGTCTTTGTAATAATCACATAATGTGAATAATAAAAAATGTGATTATCATCATGATCGAGTAGAATCGTGGTTAGGAGCGTCGAGATCGTGCTCGTGAAGATGGAATATCATGAGACTTCCCTTGAC